AGTGTGCAGCGGTGCTGTGTGGCTCATCGCTGTGGTGGTGGAGCGCTTTTGTCCCAGGTGGTAATCCACTCATGCTAAATCCCCAAAATGGTGGTATACTGTTTCAAAACAAGGCTGGATTATCTTCACTATTGAGGGTGAAAAAATTTTGGTAATTCCCAGCAGCCTGGTCTTTTGTTATGTGTACAGTCTTTTGTCACAAGGCCCAGTTCCTTTTGTCCGATTTCAGAGACTCCGGTAGCGAAGCCATAGGCCTTATAGTCGTGGCCGGGGTCTCCGAACTCGGACAAAGGGAGCAGGGCCCGTTAACAAAAGACCGTACTCTGAACAAAAGACCAGGCTTCTGGGCATTACCGACATTTTTCACTCTAAAAAGTGGAGATAATCCAACCCTGTTTTGAAAGAGTATACTACGCTATGGGGTGTTTAGAGCGAGTGGATTACAACCGGGGACGAAACGCTCCACCACCGCAGCGCTGATCCACGCAGCACCCGCTGCATGCTAATCTGGCCCCTATTGAAAAGAGGTCAGCAGTGCACTGAGCCAGGTTCGTGAACAAAAGAAAGTTATACAACACCGCACAATCTGGGCTTTTTTTACAAGGCTGCAGGTCTGGCTGAAATACTCGGGCATCAGTGAAGGTCACCTGTCAACTTAGAGTAGTCCTAAAGATTACTTCGTGTGGCTATAAACAACCGTTAAATGAAATGATGAATTTTTGAAGAATTTTGAAAACAGAAAAAATGATAATTATCCCGGCCCAGCATCATCAACAGTGGTTAAACACCACCACACTCGCATCAGAATTTGTGACGTGAAGTCTGTCAATCAAAAGTTCCAATTGAATTGAAGCACCTTGATACCTTACGTGATACATCTTGTCATTTCAGAAATAAACAATTTCAAAACAGACAAATGGACACAAGATACACGAGTTAGATTGATTCATGGTGAGGTTTTGCCTTTACAACAATGTACATTGTATATTCAATTATGCTCAAATTATGAAGGATTTCAACTTTTGTTACTGCTACTTGACAGTAATTAAAAATCCGTTTTCACTATACGTATATAATTTGTAAATTACAATGTCTTTCTGAAAAATAAAATATTGCAGAAATAACTTTACATCTCACACAGATTGTGGTTACACTTTTTGCCTATCTGATATTGAGTATTTTTAAATTTTTATATTTCCCTCAAGAACTCTTACCTCTTCAAGAAATACATACCTCCAAATTGAATGACGTCCAAATACATTTTACACATTTCTACCTTCAAAATAGCAATGGAGAAAGCTCCAAGAAAAAAGCAGGCTTATGATTTCATGTTCAAAACGTTAGGGTTTTTGTATTCCACAATTTCATGCAAGTTTGCAAAACAATGCTAAAAGCCACATTTGCCATTTGTTAGCTTAGGACAGGTAATCTCTACAATAGAGAACTTCTCAACTTGCAGCTTCTAATCAAAGGTGTTTTTTTCTTACACTGACTGTTGTAGACAAATGTACGGCAAGGAAGACATGTCTTCACATTTTTGGTTTGAAAGTGTTCTTGTCTTCCCGTAACTTTGCCATGGTGTCAACTGGATCAGACGTCCCGGTGTACTTCTGAATAGTAGGCTCTCTGCAAACAAATGAAATATGGACAGATGTAAACCATGCAGACAATCAGCATTAGCCCTAAACCTTGAGGACATTTCCACACCGTGGTAACCCTATGGGATTTTGTGGGTTTTACATGGGCAACTGTTTCCGCATTACCACAGCGTGGTAAACCCTATGGGATTACTTGGTTTTTACATGGGCAACTGTTTCCACCTTACCACACTGTGGTACCCTATGGGATTACGTTGGTTTTACATGGGCAACAGTTTCCACATTTCCACACTGTGGTAACCCTATGGGATTACGTGGGTTTTACATGGGCAACTGTTTCCACCTTACCACACTGTGGTAACCCTATGGGATTACGTGGGTTTTACAAGGGCAACTGTTTCCACCTTACCACACTGTAGTAACCCTATGGGATTACATGGGTTTTACATGGGCAACAGTTTCCACCTTACCACATTGTGGTAACCCTATGGGATTACGTGGGTTTTACATGGGCAACTGTTTCCACCTTACCACACTGTAGTAACCCTATGGGATTACATGGGTTTTACATGGGCAACAGTTTCCACATTTCCACACTGTGGTAACCCTATGGGATTACGTGGGTTTTACATGGGCAAATGTTTCCACCTTACCACACTGTGGTAACCCTATGGGATTACGTGGGTTTTACATGGGCAACTGTTTCCACCTTACCACACTGTGGCAACCCTATGGGATGATATTGGTTTAACATGGGCAACTGTTTCCGCATTACCACACCGTGGTGACCCTATGGGATTACGTGGGTTTTACATGGGCAACAGTTTCCACATTTCCACACCGTGGTAACCCTATGGGATGATATTGATTTAACATGGGCAAATGTTTCCACCTTACCACACTGTGGTAACCCTATGGGATGATATTGATTTAACATGGGCAAATGTTTCCACCTTACCACACTGTGGTAACCCTATGGGATGATATTGGTCTAACATGGGCAACTGTTTCCACCTTACCACACTGTGGTAACCCTATGGGATGATATTGGTCTAACATGGGCAACTGTTTCCACCTTACCACACTGTGGTAACCCTGTGGGATGAAATTGGTTTAACATGGGCAACTGTTTCCGCATTACCACACCGTGGTGACCCTATGGGATTATGTGGGTTTTACATGGGCAACAGTTTCCACATTTCCACACCGTGGTACCCCTATGGGATTACATGTACGTGGGTTTTACATGGGCAACTGTTTCCACCTTACCACACTGTGGTAACCCTATGTAGAGCAAATGATTTTCCATTTCAAAAATGGGTATTTTCCATTTCGCCAAATCCTGATTTCTGCTTCAGAATTCCAAATTCCATTTCATACCTTTGTAAGCATGAAATAGGAGAGAAAGTTTTAAACTATGCATGAAAACCATTTGCCCAACCACATTCCCTCCACCCCAAAAAAGAAACAAAAATAACAACAATATTATTTGGAAATACTATGCAATGTTTCCAACTTTTTTAAATATAATTTCTGTTGTGAAATTTTTTTTTAAATCCAGAAAATAAATACAGCATACCCCACCTCTTGATTTCCATCCGGCACGCAATTGCCAAAATCTTGCTACGATTAATCAACGGACAATTCATATGCCACTCCCCGTGTATGAAATCAGATTACATACATGTACATGTACAGTGAAGTCACAGGGTAGGTCTTGCATGAAACAGTTGTTGATCACAATATGTTAATGTTGGACATCGGCCCGTCATTTTATTTGGTGGTAGTATGACAAAATTCAGAAAGTTAACATTAATCTGAGCCTTAATTAAAGTATGTTTGTGACTGAAAACCATGGCCCATTCAGCTATGGTACACCAAGCTTACTAGGTTTCGTTTAATTCAAGAAATATGTAATTAGTCTTCCGTTTTGCTGCCACGGTTTCATTGTTTCGCCATGCGGTACTAGCCTTGTCTCAAGGCGTCCATGCGGATTCACAGACTAAATTCCCCACGTGTGCAATAGTCATAATGTGTGAGTAAGAACTTGTTTGCGCCTTGATTTCATTGCTAGGACGGTGCACGTGTGAACAGCCAATGTGTGTATACACAATGTACCGTACCGCGCCACTGTGCTGTGCCGGCTGCCGCTGCACACATGGGGCTCACGATGCCACAACGCTTGCACGTTTTGGCACCGGCACGGCGCGAACCACCCAATCACGTGTCGGAATGGTGCAATTTAGCATGTTTCCAGCATAATTCATTCATTAAAAGTAAGCATTTGAAAAGGGTTTGGTAGGCATTTATGTTTTCGTACTTTGCAGAAAGTCTTCTTTACTTTTTAAGCCATTGTTGATTCTGCAAATTCTGTCTGTTTTCTGCGATCACAGAAAATCGTTGGTTCTACCTATGGGATTATGTGGGTTTTACATGGGCAACTGTTTCCAGGGAACTCCAACTTCTAACTGAAGTATGATTGCCTCATTTCCTCTCAATTTGAATGGAGATCTGAAAAAAAAAACTTCTAGAAGTGTTGAATGCTGATCAGGATACTAAAGACAAGAAAGAAAACAAAAACTTCCATTCTGTCTCACTTCTTTGGGCAAGATCTCTGTCCTGAGCTAATCAGCAATTAGGGTTGCTTTCTTACAAGTCTTGATTTCAACTGTACATCCCAACTGATTTGAGGGGTTTTTAATAAGCTTTTTGCGAGTTAAATTTGAATAAAATCTGGTACACTGAGTTCTTTAAATTCACGTGAACATAATTCAAATTCTCCATACTAAAGCCACTGTTGCTATACCTCGTGATTCGGGGAAAGCTTTTCCTTAGTTACACAAGAGACGCCTTGCAACAATACACTGTTCTTAATGGATAAGAACGGCACAAAGGAACCAGCCCATTCCAGAGGTGATGGTCGCTATGCAAAAGCTTGCCCCGAATCATGAGGTATAGCAACAGCGTCTTTAGTCTGGGGAATTCAAATTGTTACGTTTCTATGCAATCAGATAACACAGGGTACCAGATTTCATTCAAATTTAACTCGCAAGTGGCTTATTCAAGACTGCTTTACTTACCTAACCCTCATGAATGGGTTAAATTTCTTTTCGTCTCCAATACTGGAAGGAACTGTGGGCACCTGCTTCGCTCTCTGTGCCTGCAACAAAACAAGGGGAGAATACTTGATCAGAATAATAATGATAAGGTTTCCAGACCCCTCCAATATCCACTTACCTGCAGAAGCCTTATGGCTTATTTTATTAATTTTCGTACCGATCATGAAGGCCAAAATGAACACGAATTGGTGACATCATATTAAATACTCATGTTATGAATTCACAAAAACTGAACACATTTCAACTTGAGGGAAATTTTGTTGCAAATTTTTGGCAATGTCAAATTCACTTCGCTTCGTATTTGCCTGCAGCATGAACCAACCTTAACATTAATTGGATTCTACCTTCCTCGGTGCTACAAAATCCTCTAAAATCTGTAGGATTATGAAAGATCTGGGAGGGTAAATATGGAGGGTAAACACATGTATTAAGTCTGACAACCTTTAAGTGCTAAAGTTTCATCACCAAGAAGCAGCCAACATTAACCACTTCAAAGAAATTGGACTTGTGGTACAACAGGTGGTCCAGGGTTGATTTGGTAACTACCGGGGGCCAAGGCCAGGATGATTTCTAAAGCTTTGTGATTTCAGGTAATGTTGAGGAGGAGAACAGAGGTTCTTAAGAAGGCATAGTATTTTGGGTGACTTTCTTGTCACTTAAAAAAAACACGGACAAATTGAAAGCTTGCTGACATGAGACAGCGTAGTTTCACCGGTGGGAAAGTGTTGCATCCAAGAGGTGATGGATTTGTATCACACTTCCGTCTCATATTGAGGTGGGGGTTTAAACCAGAAAAAGGCTGATGACACCAAACCACGATCAGGGACAACCTCAACCAAGTCCTATTAAATAGGGAAGCTTCACCTTGGCCCATTCCATCTTGTGTTGCAGGTCCACATTTCGCGGTTCCACAGTCAGTGCATACCTCAGACTGCTCACTGTGTATTCATGACCACAGTAAACTTTCTACCGACATAAAAAAGAACATAGATTAGTTTGCAATTATAGCATAAATGACTGAAAGCTGTAGACCTGTGGTCTGATGCATCAAACTTAAGATAATACAGATATTTTCTCCAAATTGAGGGTTGTGGTCCAGCATGTTCTGTTGTGGTACATATGTACCAGTATGTGTGTGTCCATAGGCAGGACACTTTGTCACGAGCTGCTTCTCTCCTCCATGGTAAATTGGTATCTGTGAGGGCAAATGGGGTCATTTTGTTGCAGCATCAAACTGCATTCTCTTAACTTAGTTGAGACTGTTTAAAAATAGAAATGCTTCATGGTCTTGATGAGCAGGGATAACAACGTAAAGTTCAATGAACAATGAATGAATTCTACAAATAACCACGGCCTCTGTTGTCACTAGTGAAGAAGGCATATCAAAGGAACCAACTTTAATGGTAACAGTGTAAAATTTAGAATTAGTTGTAGATTCAAAATACCAAAATAAGTATCATTTATGAGAAAAATTTAGACTTTGGTACAGTACTGATACTGTCATAATAATAATCTAAACAAGTTTCCCTCATGAATATGCTCTTTTGTCACACTAAATGATTTTTAAACAGTGTTTCAACACATTGGACGCAATGTGGGTGGGGCCAACTCACCGTTTCAGGGGGTAGACTCCCGAGCTCCTCAATGAGTGCCCGGTACATCTGGTCAGCTGTGCCCTCAAAGAACTTGCCACAGGCCGCTATGAAGAGGGTATCTCCTGTACACGAGGTGACAGGATTCAAAGGATTCAACTTAAGAAAGAGTCCAGGCCAAGCAACCTCAATTAATTGGTCAAACGGCCCTAAATACTCACGTACTCACATATTCAACTATGAATAGTCAGGTATTTACCTGTGAACACAGTTGGATCGCTTCCATCAGGACCGGTCACATAATAGCAAATGTGACCTGTGGTGTGACATGGCGTGAACATACAACGTACATTGAGCGAACCAATCTGAAACGGACAGAGCATTTTTACATCTTCACCGTGGTCAAAGCAAACTGAAGGACAAACTCATTTGTGACTGGATCCCACAAAATAAGTCTTGAGGCATAATTTTGTTTGGTTTGCAGAAGTAAGTTCTTTCTTTTCATGTTATCCCACCAATTTTGGCATCCCAGTGAGAATGGACACAATATGGATGAAAAATGTTGTGGATTCTTAGTGATTAACAGGGTGCAAGATTTTCTTCCAGGCTTTTCGCTCAAAAGTTGCACTGGCGACTTGTGATCAATTTTGTTAGGTCGAGTCACATTCACAGTGAAGTCTTAGTAATGCACACATACAATTATTACAGATGCACAAACTTGTCTCTTGGGTTAACAGACGAGTTTTGGATAATTTTTTTCTTATTCTGACCTGTACACGAGAGAATGTCCAATGTACTGGTAATAGCCACTGGCCACAGTATGCATTGAAGCCAGCTTCACAAGAAATGCACAAGTTCCACAGTAACAGAAGAAATAGTTCTGACACCCCAAAATGAGTAAAAAGGCAATGTTTTCAGCGATTGTGCTGTCTTTGCATTAGAAAGAGCAAACTGAGCTTTTGTTTCAAAAGTTGCAGTGTATCACTCAATTTGGTATCCCGATGCAAATTACCATTAAGCAGGCAAAAAAGGTCAAGGGTTCATACAGAACTAGATTGTGGATGATTCTTTCAAAGGATTTGTAACCCATGAGTGGCTCTTTGATAACTGATTGTGGTAAGTTGGGGCAACCAGCAGCCGAAACTGTTAATTTAGAAGAGTTTACCGTCAACTTGTCATCGTGTTTGACCTTCTTGTTGAGAGCTCCGATCCGGTCATCTCCCCCACACACTGTCAGACCACTGACCAGCTTCACTAGGTCCTTGTTACCCCCAGCATGGTCCCTGGAAGGATACCAAGCAAAACCATTGGCTTTGTCACTGTGAGGGCAGGAGTTGTGACCTCCATTTAACATCACACCTAGAACTTATCTCCATTTCTTCTTCTTTTTATCGTTGCCATTTAGTGTTCATTGCATTGGCCTCAGTTCAGAAAGCTTTCCATAACTTCAGCTCAAGGATGAAGCAGCTAAACAAAAATGCCAACTTCCAGGAAATTTTCCAAAGTTGTACTTATTGCTATGAGCCATTGCAGTTCTACCTTCTTTGATGTCTGATAGGAATGGTTCTCAGGTATACGTACACACACCCAATACAGTACCTATTTGTGAGCATTTAAAGATTTCATTCGACCCCTTTTCACCGGCTTTGTCTGACTCTATGCTTGAGTGAGATATTGAGTATCCAGTGTCCTGACTACAACAGGGTCTGTTTGATCTTTCAGAACTGGCACAGTTTCCTGGCTCACCAGTGGTGGTGAGTAGTGAGCACTGTCTTCAGTTTCACGCCTTCCTCCTTCACCGCACTAACCACCTGTAACATTCGGGAAAACACAAAACCAGGTTAATTTATCTTCACAAGGAAAGCAGACGGCAACTGAAAATCTCATCCCATGTGGTGTAGTGGTTAGGGTTTGTAGCTTCTGATCATAGGGTCGGGCGTTTGAATCCAACTGATGATAGCATGTTTTGATCTTGGTCAAGTCACTTCACCTCTAAGTGCATCTCTCCACCCAGGAGTAAGTGGGGACCTGTGAGGGTAGATATGGTTATTATGTTTAGCTACATGCACCTGTTGTGGCAGCATCAGGCTAGTATACTCCCCAGGGAGCTGAGATGGTTTCAGGAATGTTCAGGTGTTGTGAGCCCAATGTGCAGGGATAATGATATTTTATATCGGCACCTCAGAATTACAGATTCTATGAGATACTGAGTGCCTTATATAAATGCTTTGATATAATTATTATTACCTTTGTAACGGATACATGTCCATGCATAACACTTACCAACTTGACGCCAGATGACGTGTAAACACAAACATTTTCCTTATTTGTTCCACAAATGCCGTGTACACTCGTTTAAAAATTCCTTTTTCATTTCTAAGGTTAACATAATAACGTGTCGTGCTTGGTTGGGTCAAAGCGCAATAGCAAGGTTGAAGAATTTGCGAGTAAAAAAGATGCCTCCGGGAGCCTTTTCGGGTAAGAAAATTTGACGTTAACTCATTAACCATCCAGTCATTGCATGTACAACTTTAAATGACTCTGTTACTATGTGACTTTCACACGAACTGGCCACAGAAAGCATTAATACCGACACTGTGCCACTGGCAAGGAATATGGTGGATAACTTTCAACTGAATGGGCACAAGTCTTACATCAAACAAGACATTCATATAGTCAAGATCCCATACTCCATAAATTTACCAAGTGGGACTCAACCAAAGGCCACTTACTTTCTCTGGGTCGACAGGATCAACGATTGCTGCTTCCTTAGTCTTCTCGTCGATGACGAGGTACATATAGTTGTCCTCCAGGGCTGAGAGAACCTTCACGTTCATGGCTAGCTGCTGGACGTCAATGGTGATGGAGTGGTTGGATCGGATGCGGGACGTTGCCGTGGAAACAACGAGGCCAGACGGTTTGAGAAGCTGAGATGATTTATGCCTCAGCGAATGTCCTGAAAAAGGAATATCAATGCATTATTGACTTTCAGTGCAATTTAAAAAGTACTGGCTCTCAATTACATGTACGTTTAATCTTACAATCACCACTGGGCCATGAGAATGAAAGTTTGGGATTTATGTCCCCCATCCGCATGCTCAAAAACACCCCGCCAAAAAACTTCATTATTTCCAAAAAAATTCCTTATTTTCACAAAAAGGCTTCCAAAACTACATTTCAAATCATAAAGCAGCAGCAGCTCTGGGTATGCATCACGCACGGCTAGACTAGACACGTTCATTGTATGTGTGAAAATGCTGCCTGAGTGTACGTTTTAACTTGACGATCGTCATAGCAGTGCAGTTTCCACTGACTTACCTTCGAGTCGAGTAGTACGGTATGCGGAACCCTGCATCCAATCAAAAATTGTTTTGTTTGGCCACTTGATGTCCTCATTGGCCTTATATGGAACGTAAGGGCGTGGCTACTGGGTGGCCGGCATGCAAAATATTAGACTGAATATACATGTACATTTAAAGCACCATTGAATGAAGTGAGAATTTAGCAGTGTCATGCAAAAGGGGCTTGACATCCACTTTGCCCCATTTCCACATTGCCCCCATCACTTCACTCCATTTCCACTTCGCCTGTCCATGCTCGAGTGTGTTACAAGCACAAGCAATGGGCACAAACTGCATGGAGTTATACATGTAGGCCTACATAGAAAATTCTACGGCACTCACAAAATTAATGTCGCCTGCATTGTCCATGGTGAATTACCTATGGTTGGACTAGCATTTGAATTATTTCTCATCCTCTTCAAGTTTAGTTCAAAGCGATACATAATTTTGTAGACATTGTTCTGGTGATTATCAACGCATCCAGATGCAGGTGCCTGGGCGTGGATAAACCTCAGCATGCTGCAGCAGGAAATTGTGAGGAAACATGCTCACTTCAAGTAGGGGCAAAACAACCTAACATTAAACTCATGTTGCCAGTGTGAATGGGAAAACATGTTAACACAAGCGTGTTAACACAAACAGTTGTTCTGTGGTGTTTGTGAAGACAGAAAAGAAACAGGATTTATTTATTTGTCATTCTTATATTTATTAAATTTGTTTTCTCTAAGTTGCTCATAACAATTTTAGTGTCCTGCCAAAAAATTGTGGTCAGTCGGAAAATCTAACATTGTTTTGGGCTTTGCAAGTTGGATTCTCCCACCGTTATTTGGTTGCTGAAATGTTGATGTTTTTATTTGTTCCATCTAGGCCTACGCCTCTGTTACTAAAGAACAGAATGAACAATAATCAATGGGGCAAAGTGGAAATAGGGTGAAGTGGAAATGGGGTGAAGTGGAAATGGGGCGAAGTGACCAACACCCCGCTAGGGAATGCAGTATATTGCATGCTTGCCGTTGATCTTCCGTGAATTCTGACCACATCCTTTACAGTATGAATGTACATGTATTACCTGAGTTACAACACTAGGAATAACAACTACAGCTACAAACCTGTAGACTGCAATTACATCATGGAAGAAGGTTGCTAAAAATAAATAATGAATAATGAAAAAGTATTTTGTGCTTTTCCAAAATGTTCCAGACGCAGATCTAAAACTTTCATTCTCATGGCCTTACAGAAAACATATTGAAGTCAGCACGTCAATCTTCTCACTCAGTCTCAATTTTCCTGAACTCATGTCCTGTGTGTCGGGATGTACACGTAGATACTGTACAATGTAGTATGTACATGTAGTTCCATACAATGAGACACTAGCTTGATAACTGCCTGTTTCTTCCAGTTGGCAATCTGTTATCTCAGCAAAGCCTTGCCTCAAATACTGCATGGCTGATTTTGCACAATGGTAGAAAGCTGACTGGCATTGTGGGAAGGAAAAAGGAGTAACTATCATTCATGCAATATTTGCAAAAAGGCTTAGGCCTTAAACTTAGGCTTAGGTCAAGTCTACTCCAGAGGTCTTATTTTGTTCGTCACACACATACATAAACGTTGAACTTACCCTATCGGAGTGCTAGGCCTACTTGCACAACTGCAAGTCACGATAGCCCCAATAGTGTGGCACGGACTCTCACTCCCGCTCCATCCAAGAATGTATCGAGAGTCCATGCCACACTAGTGGGGCTAAAGTCACGAGGCCAAGGCCTACTTCTTGTTAGCCCCACTAGACTGTGGCATGGACACTCCCTACCGCTCCATCCTAGGCTTTGGCATGGACACTCGCTACCACTCCATCCTTGAGTCTTAGGGATGGTACAGTAGCAAGTGTCCGTGCCACACTAGTGGGGCTAACTTCGTATGTGATCAGGTGATGTACACATGTGTACGCCTAACACGGAGTAGCCTGGTGACTTGCAGTTCTGTAGTACATCATACATCATGTATAGGCCTACGTGGCAGGCCGGGTAGTAGCACTAGCAGTACCATACCCAACTGAGTAGTTAGGCCTACAACTTGAACTCACATGCTGCTTGTAAGTTGTATTTGTATCTCCTGCTTTTTTTTTTCTAAGCTGGAAAAGAAATTGGCCGAAAAAAGTGCAAGTGTCCTGAAAGCAAGGGCTATCCCACGTACCTACGCTGAAGTAGTACTTTGAAGCAAATCCCTTGCAAAGGTAGGAAAACGGACGTAGGCCTGCGCCTACATTGACATGGTTGATAACAGTTCCCACAAGCATCATCACCCCCGGGCCACAACTTTAATAATATCCAGGACCCAACCTCGACTCCATGGGCTGCGTGCGCGTTCCTTCATTCACTGAGAAATTTCAACAAATGACCAGCAAACCTTCTCAAAAGAAGCACTCCTTTGATTAAACAAAAACTGACCTCACGCTGCAAACGCACCATAGGGCCTACTTTCACCGAAAATACGATCTTTGGTACTGACTTTCTAGTTTTCTGGTGGGACGCGCTCACTCCGAGCTGGCGCGGCTCAACCTCGACTCCATGGTTGCGTTCGAGCTACTCGTGTTACCTCAAGTACTCTCCCCACCCCGAAGTGCACGTGTCATGCGCGAAGGGGAAGAGTGCGCCCCGTGGATAACAATTATTGATGCACGAAATGGGACGAAAGAAATCAGGACTGTAGCACTGCTACCTGCTACAAACCCTACGCATGCGCATTAATACCTTTAGAATTTCCCTGTGAGTTTGTGCAAAAGTAAATGGTGTAGCACTTTTTTGCTACAGATTTCTACCCCTGACTTCCCTTCCCAGCATGTAGCACTGTGTAGCAGTGAGTTTGTGCAAAAGTAAATGGTGTAGCACTTTTTTGCTACAGACTTTCACCCCTGATTTTTCCCTTCCCAGCTTGTAGCAAAGTGAGTAGTGAGTGCACAAGTTTGAATGGTGTATACTTTTTTGCTACAGATTTCCATCCCACACTTTTCAAGTTCCCTTCCCAGTTTGTAGTACTGCGTAGAAGTTGGTTTGTGCACAACTTGTGTCAATGGTGTAGCACGTTTTTGCGAGAGATTTCCACCCTTGACTTTTCCAATCTCACGTGGGGGCCAAACAATCTCCTTTTTCAAAACATACTGTGTGTGGGGGGGGGCACTTTAGTACTAATGAGCTGGCCAGAAATTCTCACTTGAATTAGTGGTCTGCACCCCCGTGGGTACCCGCGGGTAGTCTTGGGCCAAGACGCCGGCGGCACTTAACTTGATAGCGGACTCGATCAAACATAATGCAGGTAATGGTGCCGTTCCACCAAATGGTCGTATTTCTGCGCCCGAGCTCATGAATATTTTGTGATCCCACGGGGTTTTCACGATAAGACATGCCATAATTAGGTGGGATCATAGAAATATTTCGTTAAATCCTGAATTTGGGGCTGATAGTTTCCGGTTCATTTCTTTCACAAAAAGCCCTCAAATTGAGGGCCTAGAGGCGGGCGGCTACATTCAGAGCTGAGTGCATAGATTTACTACTATCTTCAGTGAAAGGCGAATAAAAAAAATCGTGGTTAAACCCCCATAAAATTGAAAAGAAATGTGATCTTCTGGCCATAATCTTGAATTTCCAGCGAAAAAAACTGAGGCCAACCTCTTCACAAGAGTCAACAGGCGGCGCTATTTCGGTCTGATTTTGCACTGTTTTCTATGGGTGCGCATTTGGTGTAGTGCAACCAATAATGGTTGCAGGCCAGTAAGTAGGTCCAAAATTGCCTGCGCGGACCAAATCACGATTTGTAGGCTGTGGCACGTGGACTGGGTGGTTTGTTAAAAAGGTGGATGAAATGCAGGGGCAGGACTGTCAGCTTGTGTTTCTGACAGTATCGGACCAAACGGGGCCCTCCAAATTGCTCTATTTTGCTATGGAGTGTAGGCATCAATTTCCATTGAAGTGATGGGCCTCCTGACTGTTTTGAGGGGTGATTTTTCTCTGGAGAGATACCTCCAAATGTCATCTGTTAAACCAATGAAAATTGAAAGGAAAATGAAAGATGAGGAAGTGAACATTAATTTGATGTGTGTCTTGAACACGTGTGAAACTTGTGAGTATTTTTAATATTTTTTTAATTAGGCAATATTTATCACTGTTGTCTGTGGCAACTGATTTACTGTGAGAATTTCTGGCCAGCTTAGTTGCATTAAAAGTGACCCCCTTTCACACAGTATCTTTTGAAAAAGGAGATTGTTTGGCCCCAAAAATGGTGAGATTGTGTAAATCGTTAACAGGATCAACCCCTGGGTCTTTGAGTTTTCATATGAAAGCAGAATGGCTAAAAACTACGGTAGAAAAATGGTCCCAAGTGCCCGAGAAAGTTGAGGGTTGCCACTTAAAAATAGCTGCAAAACTTCGGAAAAATCACTTTTCGGGAGGTGATTTTGTTTTATGGGAATAATTACAAATGTAATTGGTTAACAAATAAACCCACAAATATTGAGAAGAAATTGAAAGATTAGTGACCAGACAAGAATTTCATTTGCGTTTCCGAAATCTCAGGGATGTTGGCGCGCATGTCGGTTATTGGGCCCTGAACAGTGCTGATTTTACACTGTTTTCAATGGGGCTTGAAGTACACGTACATGTAGTGGACTGTACCCATATGCCGTGCTCGCGCCGATTTCTTGTGCGCCCTCTCGTGACTTCATTTCACCAATCGACGGCTTGTTAATTCTACCCACTGAACAAGTCCACCCCAACTACAGTACATGTACATGTAATTGTACATGTACTAGTGACATCAGGACCCAGATAGACAGTTGAATTAATTAAATTTCATGACACCCTCGAATGAACATGTGCGTTTTCAAATCGCCCAAAGTTTATTCGCAGATCAATCTATAAGAGGGCGCGTCTCTGAATGGGATACAGCCGCCCCATGACTCAGCACTTTTAAACAGAATTTACAACGCATTTTTGAGTCAAAAGCATGAATTATTCATGCAGCCTATTGCCGAACTGAACTCAAATGACCCAAGCATACCACCTCTTGTACGGTACGGTATGCGCGTGTGTGCACCGTACCATGACCGCAAGTGGATTCGGTTAGACTTCAGGGTGCAC